TGACCCTCATCATCACCACTGTCATCATCATTTCCACCATCACCACCACATTATCACCATCATCATCACCACCTCCATCACCACCATCACCCTCACCATCCCCACTGTCTCAGTCAGCTCAGAACCCTGCAACAAAATACCACAGACTGGGTGGCTTAAACAACAGACATTTATTTCTCACAGTTCTGGAGTCTGGGAGGTCCAATATACGGGTGGCAGCCCATTAGGTTTCTGGAGAGAGCTCTCTTGGCTAGTAGATGGCTGTGTTCTCGAAGTGTTCTCACAGGGCCTTTTCTTGGCTTGCGAGAAAGAGAGAAACTGAGAGTGATCACCCTCTTCGGATACAGGCATTAGTCCTATCAGATTAGGGCCCCACTCTCATGACCTCCTCTCACCATAATCACCTCCTCAACACCCTGTCTCCAAACACTGTCCTGCGGGGGTTAGGGCTTCGTCACATGACTCTGGGCAGGGGGACACAATCCAATGCACAGCACCCACCATCCCCAACATCACCACCACCGTTAAAACCACCACGACCACCATCACACGAGCTCCTCACTGCCCCGCTTTCAGCACCAGCACCCTTGCCGCCACGCCACCTTCATCCCCGCCTGCCTCCACCCGGGCTGCTCCGAACAGAATACCACCGCCGGGGGGGCTCGCGAACAACAGAAACTGACTTCGCACCGTCCTGGAGGCTGGAAATCCAAGGTCAGGGTGCCAGGGTGGTAGGGTTCTGGTGAAAGCCCTCTTCTTGGTTGTGGACTGCAGACCTCACTGTGTCCTCAGGTGACAGAAGGGGCGAGGGGGCTCTCTGGGGTCTCTTTTTTAAGGGCATTAACCCAAAGCAAGGCTCCACCCTCATAACCTGACCACCTCTCAAAGCCCCACCTCCAAGTACCATCACCTTAGGGGTTAGGATTTCAGCAGTTAAACGAACATCCAGACCATAGCACCCCCATCGCCAGCATCTTCATCCTCATCCACTATTACTGTCACCTCTACCACACCCCCCATCATAACCGTGACCTCCACCATCAACCATCCCCAGCCCCACCGTCCTCTCCACCCCCCCTCACTCCTGTCACCACCGTCAAAGCCACCACCTCCACTGCGCAGAGTACATACAACCATCACCACTGTCACCGTGTCCCACCATCTCCTCTCCACCCTCCGTAACCACCGCACCCCACCGTCATTCCCAGCACAGCCATCGACATCACTATCACCACCTTCACCATCCACACGACCACCCTGACCCGCCTGCCCTCTGGCTGGCGGTGCACTTCACTGATGAAGAGTGAGGGCCTTGAGGGAGGCAGATCTGGGCTCAAGTTCCAGTCGTGCTCTTGTGGCCACGCACTTGAACCCACCTTCCTAATTGGAGAAAAGGAGTTCACCATCCAACTCCAGACCGTTGCTTCCTATAAGGACAACTTTGCCCTCTGGGGGCAGTGGGCGGCTGTCTGTCCAGGTGGCCCCATCTCCAGCCCCCCAGAAGGGTCTCCAAGAGGTGTCTGAATCATGGGATGACAGCTGTGACCCAGTGGTCGGATGAGGCCCTGTCGTCAAGTGTCTGGAAGATTCCGCTTTGTTGGACAGATCAGATGCAACTGCAGCGTGGGCCGCGCACGGACCCGGGGCAGGGCGCGGGGAGCACTGTGCTTGTCCTCAACAGAGCGTGGCTTCCAGCCCCCGTTCTTGCAAACAAGCTGGGAGGACCTTTCTGTCACTAAAGAAGAAAGTCCCTTCCTGTGAGAACCAGAGCTGAGGTGGGTGGTGAACTTCGAAGCATTTGCGGAAATACCCATTTTGTGTTCTGACGTCCGACCTTCAGTCCTCTCAGTGAGAAACCACTGAACGAGGACCAGTGCTGCTTGGGGTGGAGGCGACAGCAGGGCCGCGGGAGGCAAGGAGACGGGCACTGAACCGGGCCAGCCGGCGCTGCAAGCTCTCACCCTTAGCTGCCGCCCCATGGTCTCATCCAGGTCTCCAGCTGGGGTGTAGCAGCAGCTGCCCACCCCCGGCCCAGGCTGCTTTGCCAGCCTGGTGCCCAGCAGTATCTCTCTGGAGGCCCAGGACCACCAGGCCTGAGCCTCAATGCCGAGGTCACCGCGCCTGCTGGCTGGGCCCCCCTTCTAGGATGGCGGGGCAGCCCCGACGCCCGCGTCTAGTGGACGGCGGCAACTCAAGGCCTCGTGGAATCCGCTGCAGAGCCTCCCGAGGACACCTAGACTCCTTTTTCGCAATTAGGAAGAATCGGTCAGTGGAGTGGCTGGCTCACGGAGAGCCCAGTGACCTCACTGTTCTGCATTATTAATAAAATGAGGGAACAGATGCCCACTCGCTGGAAACCGCAGCTGAGCCCCCTTCTCAGAGGAGCATCCTGGGGCCCAAGCTGCTTCCTAAGCTAACAGATCCCTCCTTAGACCCCTCTTCCGGCTGCCCCCTACCCCCCACCCTCTCTCGCCCTCCTGTTGCGTTTCTCCGTCTGCTGCCAGTGGGGCCTCAGCCTCCCATAGCTGTTGGCCAGGCTGTGGGTACGCTGCTTGTGGCGGAGAGATGGAGAGCGAGCCTGGAGGATACAGGGTCGGGACCTGGACCCAGGGCCACCTCACCCTTGCTCCGTGGGGTCCTGATATGGAAGTGGGGAGCAGGGCCACCTCCAGGCCTTGTTGGGGAACTGCAGGGATGCGGGAAGGCCGGGCACAGGCCCCCGCTCATGCCAGGTCCAGACATAAAAGCTGGTGTCCATCTTCTCCACTGCAATGAGGCCCCGCCCACTCTCGTGGTGGGCAGTGTCTCGGTGTCTGGAGGCCTGAGCTCACACCGAAGCCTTGGGGAACAAGGGCGCAGGGCCTGCCCATCACCCGCTCCCCAGCCCCTCACTCTTCACACCCCTGTCCCCCAATCCCCACCTTCAGAGGTTCCCCACTGCAGTCGGGACACCACAGCCTGGCAGAGGGGCCCCCAACAGGAAGGTCCCACCCCCTCCAGGACACTGGCCTTTTGCTCTCACAGGCCTCTTCTGGCCTCCCACTGTCCCCCTGGGAAGCTCTCTCAGCCTGTGCCTCCCAGCCCCTGGGCTCCACCGGTGTCTGTCTGCGGGCCTGTGGAGGTGGGACCTGTGTCTGAGTGAGCACAGGGCCAGGCTGGACAGAGAAGGAGGTTCCCCGCCCCTGCAGGATGCCCCCGGCGGGCTCTCTGGGGCCCTCCCCACCGCAAAGCCTACAGCCTGACTTCTGCAGCCAGAGGCCACTGGCCCCAGTTCGTGACTGGGAGGGGCCAGAGCCCAGGTCCCTGGAGAGGGAGGGGCAGAGGCAGGGCAGCTGGCTGCTGGGCCCCCAAGCCCCATGGTCTCTGCGAATGGGGCTGGCTGGAAGGGTCTCGGCTCTGGGCCCTGTGTGCGCCTGCCCACCCGATGACCAGGGCCTGGCGCAGCCCTAATGCTCCCGCAGGAGCCGCCTGGACCAGCTGGGGTCTGCGTTTGGGCGAGCCCAGCTCTGACGCTCACACCTCCCCCGCCGTGCAGTGAGTCAGCTTCACAGTCACTCTCCACCCCCGGGACACTGTCACCCAGGGCCTGGAACCGCACTGCACCTGGAGTTGGGGCGGAGGCGGAGGAGGGGGAGTGTTGTGACCACAGAGAGCACTGAGTCACATGTGGGGGAGGAGGGAGGAGGTCAGCAAAGGCTCTTGCCTTCCCCCAGGAGAGGAGTGAAACCTACACAGGGCTCCAGGCTCCCTGGTTTTGCCCTCCTTATGAGCTAAGGGAACATGGGGGCCAGGCTGAGGGCTCAGCGTGGGACCAGGACCAGGGCCAGGGCTCAGTGTGGGACCAGGGTCAGGGCTCAGCGTGGGACCAGGGCCAGGGCCAGGGCTCAGTGTGGGACCAGGGTCAGGGCTCAGCGTGGGACCAGGGTCAGGGCTCAGAGTGGGACCAGGGCCAGGGCTCAGCGTGTGACCAGGACCAGGGCTCAGAGTGGGACCAGGGTCAGGGCTCAGCGTGGGACCAGGACCAGGGCCAGGGCTCAGCGTGGGACCAGGGCCAGGCTCAGCGTGCGACCAGGGCCAGGCTCAGCGTGGGACCAGGGTCAGGGTTCACCCAGGCCAAGCACAGCAGATCCCTGAGTCCTGGCTGATCAGGAACCTTCCAGCTCCTTCAAGCCTCTAGGCTGGGGCCACCTACACTCCCTCATGAGCCCAGCAGAGGGCACTGTGCAGACCCTGAAGACAGAACAAAGGGCTCAGCGTGTGACCAGGCCCCTGGTCTGGAAGGGTCTGTGAGGGTGCCACAACCCCCTGCAGTTCCCACATCCACACACTCCTTGGCCCCAGGCTGGAAGACCGTCCCTGGAGAGGCTGTGTCAGAGGGGTGACAACCACACCTCACAGCCTGGCTTCTGCCAGGGGCTGGGGGCAGCCAGTAAAACCCAGACCCCAGGAGCTACGCTGGGGCCCCCACCCCGCTGGGCCTCTGGCTCCTCTTCTCACTGGGGCTGCTCACGACAAGAAGCAGGACTCGCTTCCAGAGCCCAGTTCCTGGGCCCTGGCCAGCATGATGGGCTTTTTTTTTTTTTTTTTTTTTT